TTCATCCCTGCTGTTGCTCCCTTCCCTTAGCGATCCAGCAGAGAGTGTTCTTGATTCTGTCTTTAGGGCCACTCTCTGTACAAATCCTCCTTTTGAAAATAAAGATGTTTGATACATGCAACTAAAGTACGGCTGAAGAGTATTCTAAGTCCAAATCCATACAGGTAAAGATCTTCTGGAACAAGGCTGCTCCAAGTGGTCCGTGACCCTCTTCAGGAGAATTATTTGTTTTGCTTATTTTAATAATGAATGTTTCTTCCTGAATTGACCACCCTGGGGTTGAGGTTCGTGAATCTGATGTTTTAATAACCTGATTCTGATCTCTCTGGGACACAGACCATGCTTTGATAAGCTCATTTGATCCCTCGATTGCCCTTCAGTTTCACATCCCAACTGAGTAGGAAAGGCGACTCTATGGACATCCTGTATTACCTTATCTGTCCTTAGGAGAGGTACTTTTTGTTTTGTTTTGTTTTGTTTTATCTTTCATGTAAGGGCCTTATTCCTCACTTTGGACTCTGGATTTTTATGTTGTCATCTTAATGAAGATGTGCATTGCAGTGGAAAGGAAAAGGTTGTATAAGTAAGGCAGCAATTCTGATTAGTTTCTTGGTTATAGCACAGCCTTTAGTTGTTGGGATTTAAGGAGAATCACACATCAGAGGTGGAAGAGGGCTTTGGGATAATCCACCAGCGGTTCTCAACCAGAGGGGGACTGTGTGCCCACCTCCACCCCTGGTCTGTAATAGGGATTTTTGTTGGGGTGTTACTAATGCTGGGGAGAGCAGGGATTGTAAACATTTCACAGTGCAGCAGACAGTCCACTACAGTGAAGAATTGTCCTGTGCCAAATACAAGTGCTTTCCAGATTTAGAAATACGAATTCCCAACTAGCTGAGAAAAATGGAGATCCAGAAATAGTACTTGGATCTTTTTGATAGCATTGCTTTGTTTTCTGGACTTTTTGAAAAAATCTGTCTTATATACACTTTTCTCTATAGGTATGGAATTAATTTTGTTAACAAGGAGTAACATTTTTTGTCCTAAATAGTTCACTAAGTTAGACACTATTCTAGTCTAACTTGTGTAATTCAGTTCAATATATTAGAATGTAATTTAGAGTCTACTCTGTGTAAGACACTGTGATGGGCTCTTTGGGGGTTTACTGAGATGAGTAAGGTGAGGTTTTTTGCCTTAGGAAGCTCAAGATACTCGGATGAGAGATAGACACTTGCCCAGCTACCAGGATCTGACAGAGTCTGCTTTAACGGGGTTGAACATGTTATGAGAGTATAAAGAAACTGTCAAGGTAGAGGAATCTGAGAAATCTTCATGAAGAAGGTGGCCCTTGGGCTGTGATTTAACAGACAAAAGGCAAGGGAAGACAAGCAGTTGAAGAGGGCATTCCAGGCATGAAAAGTGGGAAGGAGAGAAAATCAAAGGTACAGGAGTAGAAAAGGTGTGTCCCGGCAAATTTAGTTATCTGAGACCGAGTCTGTTCAGGGACTTGCGAGTCAGGCAAGGTGCTGGTTCTTCATCTGCATGGTGGCTATCAGGGCATTTGCCTCATGGTAATTAGTTAAGGCATATATTTGTTTTGTGTGATTTTCTTTCTCAGTGTTTTATTTTACCAGAAAAGGGGATTTTTGTTTGTTTATTTTTAACGCCATCTCAGTGGTCTAGATAGAAGACCTTTATCTGTATATAATGTATCTTTTTATTCTCTGGGTTCTTTTTATGCTTTTTCTTTATCACTGCTTTTGGGCAATTTGATGAGATTATTATGTGCCTTGGGATTTTGTTTCATGTTTCTTGTGCTTGGAACTTGTTGGAATTTCTTAATATCTGGCTTCATAGTTTTCATTAAATTTGGAAACATTTTAACCATTATTTCTTCAAATATTTTTTCCTCTTCCTCCTCTCTTCTGCCCTTTGGAGCTCAGTTATATCTAGGGAGGGCAAAAGTAGGTTTACAGTTGTTTGCATGAAAAAAATATATAACACAAGAATAAATAATAATACAAGGATAAACTCTGGGTTTCACATACTCACAACACTAAGCCTAGTTTTGCCCACACCTGCATGTTATAATGACCACTTAAATTTGACCCAAAGTGCACTTGCTAATATTCTTTTTATTTCTTTCTTTTTTTTTTTTGTTTCATCTGAGATAGCTTCTATTGCTTTGTCTTCGAGTTCACTGATTTTTTTTCAGCAGTGACCACCCTGCAGTCAATCCCATCCAATGTATCTTTTTCTCTCAGACACTGTAATTTTCATCTTTAGTTTGGTTTGGGACTATAAAAATACCTTTCTTGTCTATATTCAACTTTTTTAATATAGTAAATACCATTGTGACACTATTTTCATTCCTTTGTCTGCTAATTCTAACACCAGCGTCAGACTGAGATTGGGTTCTACTTGTCTTCTTATTATGGGTTGTACTATGTCAGTTCTCAGCATGTGTGGTGATCTTCGATGATATGCCAGGTATTTTGAATTTTACCTTTTCAGGATCTGACAGTTTTTGTATTTCTGTACATGTTTTTGAGTTCTGTTCTGAGACACAGTTACTTCAAAATAATTTGATATTTTGGGGTCTTACTTTTGAGATTTGTTAGGTAGAACCAGAGCAACATTTAGTCTGGGGCTAATTACTTTCCACTACTGAGACAAGATCCATCTGAGGACTCCACCCAGCTTTCCAGTCCACCTGGTGGGAACAGACACTATTCCTGGCCCTGAGTGAGCACTGGCCCAGTCCCCTCCAGCCCTCTCAGATGGTTCTTTTCCTGACCTCGAGTAGTTTCCTCATACGACATGCACCCTCAGTCCTCTGTAGAATACTCCAGGAGGACTGACTCCCCACCGATCTTTGGAATGCTCTCTCTGAGCAGTGATCTCCAGTCCGGCACTCTGCACTGGGAACTGTAATGGCCTCGGCTCCTTAGACTCTCAGCTCCAGCTCCTTCGTTCAGGGAGTCCACCTGCTCCTGCCTTGGTTCTCCCTCCCTGTGCTGTGGCCTGGAAACTCTCTCAAGGCAGCATGGGTCAGTGATGGGGCTCGCTTCATTCCCCACCTCCTCAAGGATCACTATTCTTTTCTGCTGATTTTCAGGGTCTTGAAAACTGTTGTTTTATATATTTTGTGTAATTTGGGGGAGGGGAGGTGTTTCAGGCAGTAGGGTAAATGAGGTGCTTGTTACTCCATTTTTGCCAAAAGCAGAAATCCTCAGAAAGCATTTTAAGGGGCCTGCATAACTGGCTACACTACCCATTCTGTCCAGAGAACAACCTAATATAGGAACTTCTGTTTCCTGAGTGCCTCTGTGTGCTAGGCATTATGCTTGGTCATATGAGAATTCACTCATAAGACATATTTACTGAACAGCCATCACGTGTCAGGGATGTTCTGGGCAATGAAAATACACCATGGTACAAAACAGATTTTAAAAATCTTTATCCCTATGGTGCTTATGTTCTACCTGAGAGAGAATTAACAAAAATAATAATTCAGCTATATAGCACATTAAAGGATAATAACCACTATAGAAAACTAAAGGGCAGGTTTAGGGGTGTCAGGAGTGCTGGAGAGGGAATTCACAATTGCAGTTTTCGGTAGAGGGGTCAGAGTCGGGGTTCCTTGGGAAGGTAGCATATATGAGCAAAGACTTGAAGGGGTGGAGGGAAGGAACCGTGGGACGTGTGGAGGAAGAGCGATCGCACAGAGGAAGCTGCCATTATAAAGACCCTAAAGCAGGAGCATGCCTGGTGTGTTCAAGAAATCATAAGAAGAACTGCATTGCTAAAGCAAAGACCAAGGGCAAAGGTCAGAGGGTAACTGGATTGAATAGAGTCTTCTGGGTCATTGTAAAGACTGGCTTTTGCTGTGAGTGAGGAGAGGAGCCATTACAAGTCAGGAAGAAGAAAAGGTTTGTGATTTGACATATGTCTTAAAAGAATGATTCTGGCTGCTCTCTTGAGCAGAGATTGTAGGGTGATGGGTGGAAGCAGAGAGACCGATTAGGAGACCACGAATGAATTCAAATGAAAGATTATAGTGGTTTTCCTCATGGTGGAAACAGTGGAGATAGAGAAGTGGACATTGACATATTTCAAAGTTTGCACCAACTACATTTCTCAGCATAGCCAATGTGCATGTAACAGAAAAAGAAGAGTCAAGATATCATCAAGGTTTTTGACCAGAGCACCTGGAAAGGTGGAATTAACAGATGATAAAGAGTGAATGAAATGAAATTGGGGGAAAGGTGATGAGGAATTAATATTGGACATAATGAAGTTTGAGATGTCTGTTGGATATACAAGGGGGAATACGAAGATAGAAAGTTGGCGGTATGAACCTGGAGTGCATGGGAGAGTTCTAAGCTGGTAGGTCAGGTAAGATGAAGACTAAGAACTGGCCAAATTTTACCAAAGTTGAGATCTTTGGCAAGTTTAAAACTTGATCCTCTTTTGAAGGCTTAGTGTCAGAATGGGTAAATTTTAAAATGTGCCTAAAAAGAGAGAACTAGTAAGTGAAAGTCTTTTCTTCCATCTTGCCAGAGTGCTCATTTCATTAATAAGAAATGCAGCTAAACATGCCAGGCAAGACAGATAGGCACTGAGTTTCACATCATTTATTTTTACAAATTTTTATTTTAGTCAGATGGTGGGTGCTTTGGTTGTAATGCCTGCCTCAGTCATCTAGACTCATTCTAACGACTGTAATTAAAGATATTTTTCCCAAGTTTGTCCCCCAAAACCTATAAAAACTGGCAAAACCATAACTATTGCAATTAATAGAGAATTCTTCCTCTTCTAGATTTAAAGACTAAATAAGAGAACAGACAGTTACATCTCTACTTTTTTATTATACCTTTTGAAATAATTTGTGTATACCTTTTAAATAATTTCAAGTGCCACAAAAATAATGTTAATAGCTCAAAATCAAAAGGGAAAAAAAACCTAGGTATAATTTTTAAAATCTTTTTCTCCTCAAGCGTTTTACGATGGGATAATGAGACAGACGTCTCTCAACTGGAAGGACATTTTGACATGGTTGTGTGTGCTGACTGGTAAGTACATAAAAATCATGAAACTCCTGTTAGAAAAAATAGCTTTGCTGGAGTAATTGGGCTGTGCGCTTTGCTGATGGCTAAGCAAAGTCAACAAATGAAGCACAAAGCCACTTTAACCTCAACAAATTAATATTCATCTCCATGTGACAGTTATAAGGTAGTCTTCTATCACACAGTAACTTCTACCACATTATTTCCCAAAGATTGATTTTGAGAAGCATTTCCATTTTCTGGAATTGCCTCTGTTTCATGCTTGACGTATCAGTAAATGGACGACTTAGGCAAATTGCAAATAATTATGGCTCGGAGAGGAATAGTCTGGAGAAAAAGGAGTTTATCAACACAAACAGCTCAATTAGCTTACTTCTTAGGAGAGATCAGACTATTGATACGAGGGGACATGTGAGCGCAATGTGCACACACATGTGTACGCTCCAGCAAGTAAGCACATCTGTGAAAGCCCTTAGGGAATAGCGTTTCTTAAAAACCTATGTTTGCTATTTAATATTTTCAGTGTAGTTCATTAATACTTCATTATACATAGAACAAGAATTATAAAATTACGTTTTATTGTTATGCAAATAGTAATAGTAAAGTCTCTGTCAGATGCCTGCTTTTTAAAAATAATTTACATATTTTGTCTTCTAGCCCCATCTACTTATTGTTAGTGAAGGTCTGGTCCTAAGTTACAGGATAAATATGTATCGAACATTAATGATTATTTCAACTAATCTTAATGTATTTTCTTTATGCATGGGGGATAATTGTTTCGGCACAGGGGAAACATTGACAATTCACAAGTATTTTCTCTGTTAAGAATAAGATTTGTATTTTTTATTACACTTTAGATTTGAAAACACAAGTTCAGATTCTAAAGAAGATTTATTATATTAATAAGCCCAAGATCCAGAACCCAGAAAAGACCTTCCCTATTAGAGAGTTGAATGAATGAAATGAATTTTTAGGAAGTCTATTATCATTATCATTATCATTATTATTTTTTAATACACTGTTCAATGGGTAACTTTTCTACCTGGTGAAATTAGACTTGCTTTCTTTTTTCTTCTAATAAACACCTTTCTTCAATAAAAAAAGAAGTTATTTTGTTTTATTTTTAGCTTGAGATTTTCTAGTTTTCCATGGTCCTTTTAGTCTCTTTGAACCCCATGTAAGAAGACCTGTTTCAAAGATGGGAGGAACAGATTTCTGATTAATCATTGATGTTGTGCCTCAATATTTCATCCCTCCTCTAATCAAAAATAAAGAAATAAAATCTTACCATATGATTTGGCCAAGTAATTTAGTAAATGCCTCTCCTCACTGAATATGAGAAAAGTCCAGGTTTCATTGCACAGATGAAGATAATGCTGGCAGGGTTAGATCAGATTAAGCCTGAAAGCCAGATCAGAGAGCTTCGGAAAGAGGGGAGGAGGGCAGCATCTTCTTGGAGGTTCAGACGAGGGTCGCGCATGGACGGGTTCTGATCGTGTGGGGAGAGTCAGGTCGGGCCACGAGACTCAGATCAAATCTGTCCTTTGCACAAATATCAAAACAGCTTGTCTTTCTCATACCTTGTGACATGGACACTCACACCATGTCATCCTGTTTGTACCAGAGAGACAAGCAGAGGAAGGAAGATTTAAGCTCTTTTCTGATTAATGTTCTCAGGTTATAAATAGCCACACAACATGTTTGAAAAGAGTCTTTTTTTCCCTAGCCAACCACAGGATCACACACAACTGGGGTACATAAATGCATACTCACTTCAGGCTCTCGTTACACATACGTAACATAGTACAATGTATGCACACATACACACCGACACATTCCAAACACATGCACATCTCGTGGCTCTGTGAGAATTTATTAAATCAAATGAACTAAATATACCAAGTTTCATTTTATAAATGGCTTTTCTATGCATGAATTAAGGTGGTTTTTTTTTTCCTGGAGTTCCAAGTGCCAGAATGTCAGTCTGTTTGTAATTTCCCATTAGGAAATGTGAAACATTAAGCCACTCTCACTGCGATGCTAATATTATTTCCTAAAGAAATGCTTTGGTAATGGTCTGTCTTCCTAGTCACAGGACGGGTAAGCTGCTTAGAAACTTAGGAAGTGCAGTGATGTTTATACTGGGTGTGCCGTGCATACAGCAGTGAAGCACAGGGGCCGTGAGTTCTTTACATCCTGTAGCTTTGGCGTTTCTCTCTCGGAGTTTCCACCTGGATACTGCTTCTGGGGGCAGGAGCATGGAGCTTCAGGGTTTTTTATTTTCATTTTTTTTACAATGTCACAGAGGAGGAAAAGAAAGCTTCCTTTAGACAGTACCTCCAAGATGAAACCTGAAATACGAAGTGCCAAAAATAAGTGCCCCACCTACACAGATCACTTGCCCCACCCCAGGCTATAGTCATTGCCCATCAACGAGATCTGATTAGGCCACAGGAATATGAAGCAAGAGTCAGAGTTCAAATATTGGGTACATGGATTAAGTTCTTACCGAAGCATTTCCAGCAAGGGGGGCATTGTCTGGTTCCCTGAATAGCTAACCAGTGGTACTGCTTGATGCCATTTACATGAAAACGAGCTCTATTCACGAACCTATTCCCAACCCACATTGTGGTTCAAGTAAAATGCGCATGATTACAACAAGCAGGGATATGTTTATGTCCTTATATCATTCATATATTTGTATATTTACATTCAAACATTCACAAACCTGTGGGCACTGGAGGAAATAACTTATTTCCCAGGAAAGACAGTCTCTTGGTTCACATCTAAATTATTAGCTCAACTAGATTATCAAATAAAAAGGCAAACTGAAAGCTAGTTATTATTTCACCATTCAGCATTTTTGACAATGAAGTACAGTTTCATGGTTCGACAGTTCCTAAACAACTTGTAAAATGTCAGTTCTGAAATAAACAGAAGGGAAAATGGAGGTACAGTCCCACCAGCAGAAGGATGCTGTTGACAAACATCAAGATATTGGAACATCTAACTACAGACGGAGGGAAAACTGCCTGTTGAGTCCCTTGGTTGACCTGTTTAATGTTGAATGTAAGTTCCTTTCTGACGGAATGCAGTCCAGCCCAGTCCTTGCTGAGTTTAGAATGGCGAGTGATTGTTCATTTTAAGCCCACCTTTCCAGACTTCTGTTCAATCCCAATAATCTAAATGTCTGGAAGTAAGATTTTTCTATAATCCAATGAATGCTTTTATTCAGTGTTTGATGGCTTCCCAGTTTATTGTAGCTGTGAAGAAATAAAAATGATTTTGTACATTTGGAGTCTCTAAAGACTTGGAAAGTGAGTCTGACATGCCACCCATCGCCTGACACATGGCGCTAGTACACAGGACAGCCAGAGCCACCTGTGCACGCCCTCAGCCTGAGACTAGGGAAAGAAGGGGGAAGGCGCGCCACCTCCGTGCTCTCTCAGCACTTTTACTGTGTATGCTGGTGGTTTCTGTTTTCAGTTATTTTTACTTCACTCTTCATGATTTTTTTAAGTTTACTTTTTGTGAAAAAAGGTGTTTTTTTTTTCTCAAAAAGGTCTCTAGAATTTCTTTATTTTCTTCCAAATGCTGTAATTAATCGTGGATATTTCTAAATCACAACTCAAAGAACTTTACATCTGAAAAGATATTTTACCCAAATGTAATCGGCCCTTTCCCCTCTCATCTGAGGAAACTCAGTCCCAAAGACTGTGTACAAATTGCCAAAGGTCTTGCAACTAAGGAGCAGAGCAAGTGAGATGGGAATAGGGCATCAGTGCCAGCCTCCACAAGGATCAGTTGGTAACTACTGATAGAGGCCGTTCTTCGCTGAAAGTTCATCTAAAACAGTGAACTTGGCACATTTCACCTTGCAAATTACACAGAGGTCTTCCTTTTTGTGAACAGTGACAGGGAAATGCCTCCCTGTCCTCTGCACTAATTAATTTCCCTGTGAGAGGAGTTGTAAATGCTTTGTGCTCCACACAAAGCTGACTGATTCCAAGGGAGGGATGAAAATGGCCTGGCACCTTTCTTTTGTCATCAAATCTGTGATTCAGGTAAATGGAACAAAGCAAGTGTTGATTCCACGAGCGAAGTATGGAGAGCTGTGTGTGGGTGCATGTGTGCACGTGTGCACACGTGTGTGTTTTAATGGCCAAACTAGACTGTCAATGCATTTTGATCAGTAACTGAAGGGAGAGTTGAAATGGTATCTCCATCCCAATCACTGACCCACTCAGCCTTTTTAAATAGATCCACTTAAGCTACTGCTGTTCTCTGAGTCCATTAGGACTTATTTAAGGGGTGAATTTTCAGGAGATTATATATCACTCCCACTAAAGCACATTGAAATTGCTCATAGGACGTATCCTACAAAGCGTTATAAATTCCCCATCAGAACTAAGGAGAAAGGTGAGCTTGCTTGGAATAAAGACCACTTAGAGAACTACAAGAATCACTTTTGGGAAATTTGATTTGGAGTGCTGAAGCAGGCAACATTGCCTTTCAAATAACTGTGTTTGGAATGTGCGCTGTGTGCTCAGCTGCATTTGCTGGTTAGCTGTGATGTTAATGTCTTTGTTGCCATCGCCAACATTAGGGAGAAATCGTACTGTATAAGGTTATGTTTTAAACTCCGCTTCTACGATGGTGTTTATTTATTCTAACAGTCTCACCAGCTCTGAGGATGCACAAGGTACACTGAGCACGGTCTTCTGCTCAATGCTCTGTCTCCCTGCCAGCTGGGTTTCCTACAGGCCTGAGAGCCCCACGCAGATTCCCCCACAATCACAGCCTTCTGAAAAAAAACAAAGCCAGAAGGCTTGGTTAGGAAAACTGAAGATATCATTACCTGACTAAAGAGTAAGGTACACAGTCCTGAAGAGGAAAAAACATTTAAAGCACTTAGATACAGTTTGATTTCTTTCTTATCAATCCTTAATGGTTATTAATTGCTGATTAATATGCCTTCCATGCAAATTTTGTAGCATTTGAATTAGCATTCTGGGCTCTAAGGTTTAAGTATTTGTTTATGGAGTGATAAGACAATTCTCCCATGGGGCGGTAAATAGGTTAGCCCGATTGATGGATGGAATGGGATAAGGTTCCCATTCTAGATGACTTCTAGCTCATCTTAAGAATATTCTTTTTCCAGTGCTCAGAGCATCTGTTTATAGAACCTTCTACTAATCATGACATGGTGAAACCCAAGCTCTGACTTCTTGGGAACGTCATAAACTGCTCTCCCCACTTCCACTTCTGAAATGAGAGAAGTGGAAGAGAACTAGTCTGGTGAAACGTGCGACCTAAATGTTGACTCTTTCTGACCGTAAGGAATGCATGCAGCCTGTTTTAGGGCCATCGAGACTAACACCCTACAGAAGCGCCTCCATTTCAAGGACGGCATTGGTCTGCCAGTCAGGCAGTACGCAAATACATACTGAGTCCCTTCTGTGTGTGTTTGGGCAGACAGGAAACTCCCTGTGGGCAAGAACTTCATCTTATTCATAGCTTGTTTCTAATGCTAAAACAACCCCTAGTATGTAGTAGGTGACAACAAATATTTATCAACTAACGTATTATTAATTTGATACCCACCATAGCCACGTAGGGAGGCCTTTATTGATAAACACATAGAGGCCTCATGTGAAGTGACTTGTCCAACGTGACAGAGCAGAAAGGTCAGAGCAAGAGCTCTATCAAACCATGAACTATGCTCCCCGCTTACTGAGGTGTGGTTCCACATCACAGCTCTCCAGCTGGCAGCCGATACTCACCCTTAGCTTCAAGAAGGATAAGGCTGAGCCCTAGAGTAGGCGGCACTCACTCATGCTGCATCAGGAGCAGGGAGGCTAAATCCGAGGGGCCTGTACCAAGCTGCAGCATTAGAAATGGGAGTGGGGGGCCCAGTTAGGCTTCTCGTGCGATGACTGATGCACAAGGCTGCCCAGTGTTCTAGCCTGTGAGTCCCAGATAAGGAAACTCTGTCCCAAGCTTCCAAGACAAGGCCTGGAGAGACAGGATCAGATGACCCAGCAAAAGGGATGACAGAGCAACAACTGAAATTCTCAAAAGAGCAGAGGATAACAAGAAAGATGACAGTGAACTAGGAGGAAATCAACCTGGAGATCAAGGTGGGCGGGGGGTGGTACATGGAGTCCAGAGTTGCCATGGTCTCTGTGACTCATCACCTAAACCATATCTTTGTTTTTAGAGCCATTTAGTCCCAGGTCACTGGTTGAGTCCAACCTCAGTACTGTTCCTACTCACTGAAAACCATCACCACCTGAGAGCTCCCTGCGGTTTAGGTGTAATGGGGCTGGTGGTTTCTTTTTGGAGGTGGCCTCACAGCACCCCAGTGTGCAGAGGGCCCACCCAGGTCTACAGAGACTAATGACAGAAGTGCTGAGAGAGCTTCATCTCAGCCACATGATTCTCCCAAACAGAAGCTTAGAAAGTGTCCCCATGACAGTGACATGTGTTCCAGTCGTGCATGAGTCGGGGCCACTGCATGTCAATGGCTCGGCTTTGGATGCACCACTGATCACGGTGTCTTTTTCTATTTCTTCCAGTAAGACACATGAACAGAAGGAAACAATTTCTCTTTTTTAGCGTTGAGTGAATATGTGTCATTAGCCCTGTACTTATCTCCACTAGTATCGCTAGACTCGGAAACTCAATTTAATCTGGATTCTCTTCTCTTCTCAATGTCAGCCTGTTTCTGGACCAGTACAGAGCCAGCCTTGTCGATGCAATAAAGAGATTACTCCAGCCCAGGGTAAGTATGTTTCTATTTTCTCCCAAACACTGGCTTCAGAATAATTAGTGTGTATACAGAGATGGAGAGAGTAATGGAATGGCAGGATTAATGTCATGTAATACTTTAATACTTATTATGTCCAACTTCAATTGGGTCTTCTGATCTACCAGATTCATTCCTAATCATAACTAGGGAACTTCTTACCCTTGGCCTTCTGATAAGGAACACAGTGGGTAGTAAAATAAATGAAAGCACTTCAAAGATAGTGTGAGATTATTTTTATCAAAGAATTTCTTGAGTCTTTTCCTTTGATAACAATATCTTCATATGAAAGTAGAAGTACAATATTGAAAGTTTTCCATTGACTTCCATCATTTTAAATCCCTTCAATGGTAACCTTTGTCACTAGGTATTTATTTATTGCAACAGATTTTTTTCTTTCTATTTCTGTTTATATTAAAGAAAAAGGACTTCAGATGAATCTGTGTATTAAAAGTTCTCTGCTTTAAAAGGAAGCCATTATTTATATATTATAAACATTAGGTCACAATGAAGCCAAGCGTGGCATAAAATATTGTGCACATTTCTACATTTATATATCCATTTATGCCTGTGAGTAAATTACAGAGTTTGCATCCACTCTTATTTTGTTGGGCTGTTATCCTGAGCCAGGAGGTCCTGCAGCCTAAACGGAGAGTTAATATGCGTCTATTTAAAGTAAGAAAATGAGTTTAAAGCTCATGCATTAAAAATAAAATCTTATACGTATGTAAGGTTCTTGCTGCACCATCGAATTTAAAACAGGTTAACAACGTTAATGCAGCCTCTGACAGGAACTCACATTTGAGAAAAGACTGCAGAGAGAAAGAGAGAGAGAGAGTGTGTGTGTATGTGTGTTTTCTAAAGTTTTGTTTCTAAAGTCTTTTTGAAAAGAGGGTTTGCTCCTGTCGTCTGAACTGAGACTTATAGACTAATACCGTTCAGTATTTCTTTTATATCTGTTTTCACATTGAAGTTTTCTGGAGCAATTTGATAATCATCCTTTGCCTTACACTGTTGCTTTTGATTTTGTTCTCTCTGGATACAATAGCTCAGAAACTTTAAATAGGCCTCTCAGAGGAGAGACCACAGCTTCGTAAGTAGTAATCAATGAAAGTAAATCGGCCTTCTCCCTTCCCTCTGTGAGGTGGGTAGTAGGTCTTGAGGCGAGAAAGGGGCGCGCTCCAAGCTACTGATGGAGCTGCCCTGGTTGGGTGAGCAGTGCAAGTTGAGGGTAGAAAAAGGAATTCGTGATCTCTTCATTTCCTCTATGAGCCTTGGGTGATTCCCATGAGCATTTGCAAGATCAGTACTTTCAGAGAGGGCACTGAGATGCTCAGATATAAAGGCCTCTCTGGAAATGCATCATCCATAAATACAATGCGTCAAGGACTCCTCGGTCCCACACCGAACAAACAGTACATCACTCTTCCCTGTCACCCCCTCAAAGCCTATTGGTGGCACATACTCCATTTTGCAGCAGATTTGCATGATTTATCCCCACTATGAATAGACCTCAGTGCAGATTGGGCTGGAATCTCTAGCGTCTCTTAAACCTGGAACCACGCTCCTCCCTTGCCTGAAGTTGGCTCCACACTGCAGCCCCTCTGAGTGAAGACTGCAGCCCTCCTCCAGACAGCTGATACTCACCCTTAGCTCCAAGCAGGCTGAGGCGGGGCCCTAGAGTAGCCGGTGCTTACTCATGCTGGGTGAGGAGCAGGGAGGGAGACAGATCAGAGGGGCCTAGACCACTGCAGCATTGGAAATGGGGGTCGGGGGCCTGGCTTAGGCTCCTCGTTCACAAGGCTGCCAGGTGTTCCAGCCTGAGGGGTCAGGGGCCACTGTAAGGAGGGGGGAGTCCAAGTTTTGGATGGCATATGGACATTCCAAAATTACCATCCAGGAAACTTGTCCCTATTGGGAAGTCTGGGGAAGCGTAACACTTGCACCACCACCACCCTGCTGCCCCCCCACACCCCCTGCCTCTACCCTGGTGGACCCTAGAAGGGTCAGGTGGACTTGGCAGTGACCAGCTGCTGCATATGCTGTGCCAGTGGACAACAAGGGTTCCCAGAGCTTAGGGGTACCTAGAAGAAAACAGGATTCTTCTTAGCTCTCAGGGCTGGCTGCTTTGCTCCCAAAGGAGCGCCCCCTGCTGAGTGTTTGTGTCATGGATGTCACTGTCCAAGACTAAGATATAGTAAAGGTGTTATTCCATGACAATCAGAGCTGCTTTCAAAGTTTTCTTGAGCGCAGACAACTCCTCCATGGTTTTGTGGCCCAAGGGTCTGAAGGTGCCACAGAGTCCCACAGAGAAACAACTTGGGGGCTATGCTGGTGGATCCTGAGTTCTTATAATTCAAGGCTCAGCAAAATAGCACCATAATTTACAGTAGCCAAGTGCTGAAAACAGCCAAAGTGCCCATCTGTAAATGAGTATATCAGAAAACTATGGTACATTTACACAATAGAATACTACACAGCAATAAGAAAGAAGGAGCTCCTACCCTTTGTGACAGCATGAATGGAACTGGAAAGCATTATGCTATGTGAAATAAGCCGGGCAGTGAAAGACAAATACCATATGATCTCACCTATAAGTGGAACCTAATCAACCAACCAAACAAGCAAAATATAACCAGAAACATTGAAATCAAGAACAAACTGACAGTAACCAAAGGGGAGGTGGGGATAATGGGGGGTCATCAAGGAACAGGTAGAAAAGACACATGGACAAAGCCAAAGGGGGAAGGGTTGAGGGTGGGAGCTGGGGGTAGCTGGGGTGGGGGGAGTGGTGGGGATGAGATGGAGACAATTGTATTTGAACAACAATAAAAAATACATCTCAGATATTTTCATACTTACACTGAGATAAAAATCATAAACTTAAGTGTACAGTTCATGCAGTTCTAGAAAATGTGTACATTCATTAACTAACACCATAATCAAGATAGAAAATATTTGCATCACTATGCAAAATGTCCTTATGTAGTTTTCCAGTCAAAGCCCACAGCTATTGCACTAGGCCACAAAAATTCTGATTTATATCACCATAGTTTTACTAGTTGTACAATGCATACAAATGTATTTTATTGTCTGTATACTTCTGTGTCTGGCTTCTTCTGCAAAATATAATATAGTTGTTCGAGAGCCAAAAAAATTCAATGGGAGATAGAAGTTTTCAGGGTGCTCAGCAAAAACTACCCCAGAGCCAGATGCTTCGAAAACTACCCCTGGGGCAGTTTCCAAAAGCAAAGTGTGGTGGGTGGAGCCAGGAGTATCTTCAGGGAAAACCAAGTCTGTCCTTCGTATCTAGTCACTGGGTTCATCTCTTGAAGCCTCAGCTTTCCATCTATAAAATGAAGAGTGTGTTTACTCCCCATACCCAATGCTTTGGAAAGCTTTAGCATCCTATTGACTCTAAATATATGTTAGCTCTTGTTACTTTGAAGAGAGGCTTGTTACTAGAGAGGCTTTCTGGCTGTGGTGAGTGCAGAATAGAGGAGGCTCTTTCCAACTATTCAATATTTTCCTCAAAGAAATGCTGGCAGGAGGGGAATAAACCATTTTCTTGACCTTGACTTTGACAACTTCTGCACATGACTGGGCACACAGTGTCCCCCTGCACTCATTTTCTGCACCCCTGCAGCACGCCCTGCATGGGTCCCAGGAGGATTACATACGTGGACGAAGAGGACATTTTGCTGCAGCCAACCTTCACTGCATGAAGGGAGCCAGGTTACTACCAGACGGCAAGAATGAAATAATCGCAGTATGGCGGTTCAAGTGTCAAGCTGTGGGAAGGAATGAATTCTGTCATTTGGGGGAATGTGTTTCTTTGATTTCTAGCTTTGGCAAATCAGCTGTCTGGAGTCAGGGTTCCAGAGGCAAAGAAAGTAGTTGGAAAGGAAGTTTCTCTGCTTTCTAGTTCTTATGAGTTCATGAATGGGTGGTGGTGTGGGGGGTGAAGGGATAGATCTCATAGAGGGTTTAGGCACCGGGGTGGGCTTCTGGCAATCTCCAATCCCAGGGCTGAGCTTAGATTCTCCGCCAAACAGGCACCCGTGCTGGGAAAGTTACTCTCAGTAGCTCCAAATTTCAGCAGGAAATGTTTGTCATCTGCCCCAAATGGAAACCTTCCTCAACTTGCTGGTTGAGAAAAATTGAAAACATGTGACTCCTGCCAGACTACTACAAGGGACTCTTCAGCAGGGACTTAAAAGATGAAAAGAAAATAAAGTAGATACTAAAAAAGAATGAAATCAGCAAATTTTACTCATTCCAAGAAGCAATTTCCCCCCTACACACATTTTTCCCTCTGGCGAGTGACTGCTTCTCATTGATGATTGATAGGTGCCCCTGTCATTGTGTTCTTTAAAGAACATCACCAATGCCTGATATCTGAAGACCCAAATGTAATTTAAAATAGCCACGGCAGCCTGTAAGTTGAACTTGAGTCCAGAAATGACAACCAGCAAATGGCATCTTCTGATACTCCTCTGAAATGGTTTTGGGTGTAGGGAGGGGAGCCAAGCCAGCCAGCCAGCTTGAGTTGACTCAGGACCAGGAGGAGACAGGCCAGGGTGCAGTACCGATAGCTCTCCGGCTTCGTATCCCTGCTGACCATCCCTAATGGTTAGGGATGTACAGATACCACGGTGAGGTTCACTTAACTTTCTTCAGAGATGGCCCACCACACAATGACAACACATCCCTGGAATCCTGCCTAAATGCCGGGAGTGCCATAAATGTAAACCACGGACTCGAAAGAACAATTTCTTTTTATTGACAGATTTCTTTCTTTTTAAAGATCTAACATCTCTGTATGCACCTATACAAACCTTTGTTTTGCTCATCTCAGGGCAGAGCCTGGTGAGTGCGGGCTCCATGCAGTGAACTGAGATGGTGCTGAAGAGCCCTTGGGTTCCTGTCTGTTGGTTGGGCCAGGGGCCCAGCAAACCCTCCCCTGTTTGGGGTGA